GGGGGGTTTCGGGGGGGTAGAGGGAGAGGGCTCATTCAACTCATTGGTTGGAAGCGGGTTGGCAAGGGTGAATCATTGGGAGAGGATTAGGGTTTATAGTACTTTATACACACAATGTGACAGAAGGACAATAAAAGCGCCATGCATCCTTGGCCCTTGGGTTTTGGGAGTTCCACTTGCACAACACAATGTTTTTTTTTCTTTTGTTATGCGATGGTTTGGGGGTTTGATAGGGTTGGGGAGTCATTCGTTGGGAGGGTGTTGGTGGGTGTCATTCAATTGGGAGGGGGCAGAGAGAGAGGGGTCGTTGGCTGAAAGGTGGTTGGGGAGGGACATTCATTGGGAGGGGATCGGGTTCGATAGACACAAGGACAATACAACACACACAGAAACACCAATACATGATACAAATGAGATGACGACAAAACGTGATGTGTGTATGACAAAATGACAACACAGTGAACATGACAACCTCGCCAAACACCCACAGTTTTCAAAAAAAACATAACTGATGACGCTGTGCAGGAAAAAAATACTACAACCATCTACAACTAACAACGTAGGGCAAGTCCAAAACCTGACAACTAAGAACATGAAAGTAATGTACAAATAAAATAAAGATAATATACAAAAACATGAAAGTAAAAAACTAATCTACCCTGCTACACAAGTCCCTAACTCCTGCCACCGCGCCTAGTATGAGTGTTGTGACGTGCTCCGCTCCCTCTCCCTGCCCATGCTCCTCTCCGCCCACTCTGACCCCTACCCTGTGGTGCTCTATCTCGCTTACGGGTGCAAGGTGTGAGCCTGCCTCGGCCGCTGCTCTCCAATGCCTCTCTCTGCGTGCAGCGGTCTCGATGGGCTCAATCTCCGTGTCCGCCTACTCGGCATGTGCCTCCGTCTCCAACCTCCGCTCACGCTCTCGAATCAGCTCCACCAACCGCTGCTGCTCAACAACAATCTCCACGTCAATATCATTGATCGAGCCATGACGTCTCGACCCCTGTGGCATATGCAAGTCATCCTCGCCCGATGTGTACAGCAGTCCCTGCCGTCTGTCCTCCATGGTTGATCGGGCTGAATGAACATCCACCGGCTCGGTCCTCCTCGTCCAAAGTCTATCCAATCCGAGTATACGTCCTGCTGTGTGGACACTCGGTCGTCCAGCGTCACTCGCACCCGCTGCGGGCCCTCCCTCTCTCGATGGTCCATGTGCGAACAGCCCCTGCCCTCTATCGTAGTCCCTCCTCACACTGTCCGTCACTCGCCTGCAAGACGACCACCCCCCAAAAATGCCACCTCGATGACTCGAAGAAAATCCCAACCCGCTGAATCGACCACCGGTCGGTGGAAGACCTGTGGCCAACGAATGAGATACAGGGCGTTGCGGTGGCTGCGCAGGGCTGTTGGCAACCCCGCCTGAAAACACTGCCGCCTGTCTTTCCAAAGACTCCCGCTCGTGGATGTTGGACTGCGATGATCCAATCCACCTGGGCTCACTGGTTCCCACGCGGGGGGCGAGGGTTGTCCACCGGTGAACGGGAAAGGGTCCTTCGTCCCCAACCTCTCCAGCTGCTCCGGACGCAACGGTGTCGGTGTGCACTCCCCCGGTTCACCGTCATCCCACCGAGGCATCACTCCCCTCGTCCACCAACTCCTCCTCAACCTGTGCCGCGTCAGGAGGCAAAGGCACACTGACCTCTTCTACCATCTCCTCCTCCCCTCCATGAATTCCTCCATCAGTGTCAGCCACGCATATGCCAACTACAACGTCGTGTATGATAGGCTCTGCGGCCTCACACTCGTCACCGTCGTCGGAGCTCTCAGCCTCGCATCGCACATCTGTCAGGCCCCCGCCGCGGGCGTCCAATCCACATCTGTCAGCCCCGACACCCTCAGCATGGGAGGGGGGCCGCATAGTGTCTTGAGTCGGCAATGGTCCGACGCTCGCCTGTGAACCCACTCCTGTCGTCTCTAACTCCCTCTGCCTCCGCTGCTCGGCCTCATACGCCTCTCTGCTAGCCCATCGAGGCATGGATTGTAACAGTGCCTCCTCCTCGCAATCCAGGCGAGCGTCCCTCTCCTCAACAGTCTCCTCCCTCTCCCTGACATTCGTCCTGTACTCAACTTTGTCACCCACTCTGCATCGTAAGACAGGCAAGCCCTCATGCGAACCTGCGATATCGAAATCGCTGGTGCGCAGGTCCGATGCCGCGGCCTGAGCGGGGCCGCTATCGAAATCGCTGGTGCGCGGGTCCGATGTCGCGGCCTGAGCGGGGCCGGAGTCCCCTCCACAACCGGTATCGGCGGTATATCCTGAGGCTGCTGAGACGCCGGACCACTACGCTCTGCCAACCTGTGCGACCGCCGAAGCTGCTCTGACTGCTCCCTAGAGTGGTGGCTTGGATCAAACCGATGGTCCCGAAGGTGCTCAGTGCTATCTGCCTCGCCCTCGTCCTCATCGTTTGAGTCCACCCCTAAAATTCTCCTCGCGCGAGGGGGACCGTCGCGATCAACGGCGCCACGACCTCGAACTGCTTGGGGTCGTCGAGTGGTGCTGCCCTGTGCCCCGCCTTCAACATCGTCCATAATGACAGACGTCCGCGGTGCATGGTCGTCCGATCCGCCCCCGTACGTGAAGTAAACCTGCTCCGCCGTCCTATCTGTGCCCCCCCGCAACGTCCTCTGCATCCGTCCAATCGTTCTCTCCATCCTGAACGACTGCCGCAAAACCCTCTCCTACTTTCCGGGATGGGGGAAGAGGCACATGGTCGAAAAGGGGCAGAGTGGCCGCCCTATCCCCAATCTGGGTCCTGATCTCTCGATCGCTGAAGGTACCAACAGGTCTCACCCCCCACACATCAGGCTCAAGAGCACCGCCGTCCTCGCCCTCCTCCTGCCGCCGTCTGTCAGTGTCGACGTCACCCATGACCCACGGAAGCACATAACCACCACCCTGCTGCCTACACGAAGCCAAGCTTGCTCCGCTTCGCCATCAGAGTGCGTTCGTGAGCCACCCAATTCCTCTCCGCAGGAAAGGCTGATGTCCACATGTGCATCACACGGATAGCGATAGCACGTTGTCAGGCGGCCACAGGCAGTGGCCCACCCGAAATCAGCGGTTTTGAGTGTTCGACCCGATGACTAGACCGTATTTTGACGGTACTCTTGTTTGACCTGACGGGGAAAATTAGGGGTACCCAGAGCACCCCTAATTTTGGATGTGCTGACCACTGAGAGTAACCCTCAAATTAACGAGGGGAGTTACCACTTCTACCACGCTGTGCCCCACCTCTCTTCCGCTTGCTCCGAGTCTATCCCCGAAGCAGCTAGCCGCTGGATGGGAATACGGGAGCAGGCATTGGCATGACCGTTTTACTTTGCACAATTGGAGCGGGAATGAAGCCTCCGATTTCATTAATTTTAATACCAGAATTAAAAATGGGAAAAGGATTTAAGAACAATAGAAGCGAAGAGAAAAACGAGATATTCTTTATTTTATTAAATTTCCTCGGTATTTAATTTTAATGGAATCGCCGTCGTTATTTCTTATTTTCAATAATAGAATAAAAAATAGAAAAAAAAATCAAAAACAATAAAAGAAGAAGAAAACAAAGAAAATTTTGTTATTTAATTGAATTCCATAGAAATTCATTTTTGTTGGAAATATTTTTATTTTTATTATTTTTGATGATAGAATTAAAAAATAAGAAAAATAATTAAAAATGATTGAAAGGGAAAAAAAATAATAATTATTTAATATTTGATTAAATTCTGTTTAAATTATTCGTGATGGGTTTGAGGCCGGATTATTTATTTACCCTGATTTAACGATCCTCCCTATTCTCCGATAATTGAGATCGCTCACGTGACTTACCAAATATATCTGGTTACTAGCCTTGCCGCAGTTGGTGTGTTTCGAGAGAGTGGGGCCGCATGGTCAGTGGGGGTTGGTGCTACCTTTGTCCGACTATTGCTTCGATATCACGCTCGGTATTGGCTCGACAACGACATGTTTCAGGTTCGCTAATGACTCGGCGTCCGTACGGTACAACCCACTGCAGATCGGGAAAGTTGCCTTAGGTTCGGTGTTGATTCGGCGTGGGCACGACACTGCTCGATATGTGTCTCATATTCGGTTTTAGTTCAATGTCGACATCGGGTTGCAGCGCTGCGTCACTACTACTTTGTGCGATCACTGGTTTGACGCTGAGACAGAATTCCGCGGTTTGGTACTTTTGCTTTGATACGGTCACTGGTCCGACATTGATGAGACTCACAGCAGCCTGTTGCTACCATTTAATGTTGTACTACTCCAGCTTGGTGATGATTAGTGATACGGATTTGGCTCAACGACAGTCTGGTCACGCTGGTTCAAGTTAGGTACAATATACTGATTCTAGATAAGTTCGACGATGGTACCACTGCAGATTAGCCAATGGTACAACTCAGGCAAGGTACTGCGGCAGCGTACTATGGCCTATGCCTTTTCTTTTCAAGCTCGATAACTGGTATGATAAGAGACACTGCAACTTGACTTTGTTCATTCCGCTCTACTCTGGCTCGGCACTGGCCTGTTTGTAGCAGTCCCGTGGATTTTTCCCTGGTACGGAACCTGCTATACAAATTTACCTGGCATATTTTTGTTGATACAGATCTCACTGGGCCTGGTGCCTGGCCCATTTTTCCCAATGCAGGCCACACATACCTGGTACCGGGCCTGCTCTTGCCAATGCGGGGTAAACTCGCAGTCTCTTGAGGCCACGACCTTTGGTACCAGGAGGATATAACGAGGATCAACTGGTCTGGTAGGACATTCAAACGGGGGCAGTCTCTCGCAGCATGCAAGGTGTACCCCGCCCACGTCACTTATATTGATGATGTCAACGGGGAGCAGTGCACAGGCGGTTACAGGAGATGGAGACGGGGGCAGTCCCTCTCGGCATGCAAGGTGTACCCCGCCCACGTCGCTTATACTGATGATGTCAACGGAGACTAGTGCACAGGCGGTTACAGCAGATGGAGACGGGGGCAGTCCCTCGCGGCATGCAAGGTTTACCCCGACCACGTCACTTATACTGATGATGTCAACGGGGAGCAGTGCACAGGCGGTTACAGGAGATGGAGACGGGGGCGGTTCCTCACGGCATGCAAGGTGTACCACCCCCATGTCGCAGATACTGAAGAAGTCAACGCGGATCTCACGAGCGCAAGGGGTACGCTGCGGCATCTGCGCATTCGGGCGAAATGGAGGAAACGGTGTGAGGAGAAAGGGATTCTGGCAGTGTGTCAGGTGTGCGGGGCGCTAGTTTGACTAGGAGGAGGACCATTACCGTGAGAAACAAAGATTACCATGGTCACGACTGACTAAGAGCCGCTGCTGCCGGTGGGAACGAGACTTATCGGTGAATATCATATCTAACGATCCCGCTGCTCGGGGGGATGACCGTCTTCAGTGTGATCATCCCGCTGCAGGCGAGAGCAGCGATCACCATCTTCGATGTAATCATCCCGCCGGTGCGCCGGTGGCGGGGACGGAGCTCATCGGAGAATATCAGATCAGACGATCCTGCCGCAGGCGGGAGCAGGCCGTACAATTATGTCTGACCAACCAAATATTCCCCCTGGTGGTGGGAACAACCGTTTTTGCTGATTCAGGCTAATCAAGTATTCCCACTCCAGGAGGAAACAGACAGTTTTGCTGAATCAGACCAATTAAGCTTTCCCGTTGCTGACGGGAGCGACCGGTTTTGCTGATACAGACCAATCAAGAATTCCCCCTGCAGACGGAAACTGGCAGTTTCGCCGATTCGGGCTAATCAAGTATTCCCGCTGCAGGCGGGAACAGCAACTCTCACTAATCAGCCAACCAAGTACTCCCTCCGTTGGCGGGAACAGACAATTTCACTGAACAGCCCGATCAAGTACTCCCGCTTCTGGAAGGTGCGGACGGTTTCATAGTTCAGCCAATCAGGCGAATCCCCGCTGCTGGCGGGATCGGTCAGTTCCGCTGATCTGCAAACATTTTTTTTATTTTTTTTTTACATATATAAGTATATATAATACTTTTTTGTTGTAGTTGCTATTCTTCCGGCCTATGTGAATGACTCAAAAGTTTCCTTCTTTTTTTTGCAATGCTTGGCTCGTTTTGATCTCGAACGGGCACTTCTGAGCTTGAACCGGCGAGCAAACGACCAGGGTCAAACTAACCCGCGGAGTGGGTGGGGAGAGAGAGTGAGAGAGGGAGTGCATGGAGAGAGAGAGAGTGCGCTGAGAGTGAGTGAGTGTGTGAGTGCGCAGAATGAGAGAGTGAGAAAGGGAGTGCATGGAGAGAGAGAGAGTGCGCTGAGAGTGAGTGAGTGAGTGCACAGAATGAGTGAGTGAGAGAGAGAGGGGAGACAGACAGAGAGAGAGAGTGAAGGACTCAGTGACAGACAGACAGTGCACAGTGTGAGCATGTATCCGTGTGTGTGACTGAGCGAGAAAGAGAGAAAGAGGGGGGGGGACACATCTAAATCTGCAGAGGAAACGAGATGCATCCAAACGAGGGGTAAAATGATAAGGAATATGTTGATGTATTTTCCCACGTTCTTGCTGAGGGTTCGTTGCCATTCAGAAAAGAGGGGTAAGAAGACAAAGGATGTGCCTAAGTACTTGCCCTTATTCTTGCTGAAGGTTTATCTCCATTTGGTGATTAAAAGATCAACGCTGCGGTGCACCAATAACTGAGAATGAGGCAATGTGTTTTCCCTGTTCTAGTTGAAGGTTCATTCTCGTAGTTGACGACTGGCTGTGTGAATCCATTGGGCATAGAAAACAAATAATATGGATGTGCATTTTCCCATACTCTTGGTGACGGTTCGATCCCTTTCCCCTCATCTTAAGGACGCGGGGCTATGGCCACGGTGGATGGAAGACACGGAAAAATGAGATGAACCTACCCTTAATCAGACCAAGGGTTCATTTCATCACACTTGTCAGGTGAGTAGTCCCCTGCAGCGTACAGGGACCAGGGGAGCTTCGTAGTGTATCTTTCCATAAAGCTGCAAAATTACTCTCGTTCCCCTCCTTTGGAAACCGATTGGGCAGCGGTGCAGACTCTCTATGAGCTCAAGGGCAAGAAGTATTCGTGAGAGTGAGCCTGGACGTTGAGGAAAGAGAAAGAACGACGCTGGTCGAGCCCGTTTCTCTGCTAAGTGGGGGTCAAATGGGCTACTCACCACCACCAAAATGTATGGTCAACTATGCGGACATCTGGACATGAGTCTGGTTGACCACTTCTCTGAGACCACTGTCACTGAAAAAGCATGGGCTCTTGGCTGTGCAATAGGCGGTCTGCTCCTTCTGCGCAGGGAGGGAACCGGGCTAATGGCTGAAGCGGATCAGACAATTTTATATAACAGGTTCACCTCGAACTTTCTTTGTGCTATATCTGATCCGTTCTGTTTGAAATCTATGAGGAAACGTGCAATACCAGTTTGAAAGGAAACCAATATTTTTGCAATTCTAAGTTGGTATCTGTCAAATGGGGAGGGAGTATCTACCCTCTGCAGCCCTGTAAATGTTGCCAAGATCGGAACAGGAAACTTTCCTAATGTGATAAATCCCCGTACGATTCTGACTGCGACAAATGTCCAATCCATTCCCGAAATTGGGTGGCGGTTTGTCACTAAGGTTTTGAGAGAAGTCTTCGAGTTCTCTATAAGTTCTACTTTGCATATTTATTTGCTTGATTACTAGTTGATCAATTTATCTAGGCACTCAATCAACTAACATTTTCTGCAATCTCACTGTTCAAAAGATATGGAAATATGCAAATGACACGGCGTCGACGGTGAAGAGGTGCAGCGGTCACCAACTCGATTGTAATTTATTTTATTTTATTTCCTTTAATTTGTTTTAGTTATGAAATCAACGAGTCAGTTCAGGGACAGACTTTAGAGTGGGGATGTGACAGGCATATCATTCCAACAGCCCCTGCTGGTCGCTGAGGACCTCTGAAGCGGGCGCGGCGAGTGACAGGCGTCATGACCCTTGACTTCAACGAACAGTAGGAGCCCCTCCCCGGGGTTTTCCTCACAACCTTCGTGCCGTTGCCGGGAGGGGACTGCACCCCAAGGCCGCGGCCTTCCCCAATCAACGGGGGTGCGCCGGCTGATTAGTTCAAGCACTAATTAGCTCGTTTCCTTGATTAGTTTCATTTTTTGATATTTTTTGAATTAGTTTTTTTTTTTGTATCTCCCGATCCGCGCACTTTCGCGCGAGCCGCACCACCAGCAAAGTTCGTCCCCTCGTCAAGGCGAACGTTTTGAGACATTTTTTGAAAAATTCTAACGGCTACAAAAAGGGATATGATTTTTTTTGTATTTTCCTAATTAAAGATCCTAAAAATCACGAGGTTAAATTTCTAATTCGTTTTTTTCAATATCTCCTGATCCACGCCCCTTCGCGCGAGGCGCACTGGGAGCAGGGTTGTCGAGCCCCGGCCGCGGGGCCCCGGCGGGGGGTGCGCAGCGAAAGCGCGCACCACATGGGCTAAACCCCAAA